TGACTAGAATGTTGTGTCATAGTTAAAAATCATACCTGCGGAAAAGATCCATCAGAACATGTTGAAAAATCGACAGCGAAATGGTTCTCCATGAAAAGCTCAAAATCAGTATCGTTCATCGCAAGATTATCCCAGTCTACACCGTCCAGTGAAGTCGTGCTGTCAACTCCCGGATCGATAAGGGCCGCCATCAGATCAAATTCCTTTGGAGAGGCATTTTGAGGATCTTCTTCTGATGGTTTTAATAGCAGAGGTAATGACATCTCGGACTTGATTTGCGCATGTCCATGTTAACGATACGCTATTCACGGCTTCTAATATTTGATCCAAAGATCTTGACACTATTGGCTCCTTCCAAGAAGAACCTTTGATGTATCTTCTCATCAATATGATACTTGCGGCTGATGCAAGTGTGTGGACAAACGTAATAGGTAGGTGCATATAGGGATAGTTTTGAAGGTTGTTAGAGTGCATTCGGAGGAGTTTCATGATGATATCCAATGACTCGTAGCATATTTGAACATCTTCAGTCTCGCCAATTCCCGGTTCTTTAAAAGCAGCTCTCGGTGGACGGTGAAGAATTATCATCGCCGTATGATATTGCATACTTATTAGGTGTTAGTAAATCTCAACAAACACTCACATGTCGGACCTACTGCAGATGAAGGACAAAAGGGGGCACGTCGGCCACATCCCATCTTGACCACTGAAGTTTCGCTGGTAAATCTTTAAGCCATTTCGTCAAGGCTACATCTACTTCTAATCGAGGTCGCGAGGATCGTCGGATCAGTATTCAAGTTTCTATTCTCGAAGACTTTCGTGATCATTCCATGTAAGATCTTGCAAAGCTCAATCTGATGAACCCATGAAGCGACTAATGTAAGGCCATCCTCATATGTAGTCTCCGACGTGCCTGGCATAATGTATTTGTTGAGAAGAGACTTCCATTCTGGTGGGTAAGGAATTCGTACAGTATCGTGGACATCTGACTCTCCAGGGTAAAGAGCAGGTGGTCTTCCAAAATAGAGACTCAACTGCTTATCTGCTACAAAGGCAGCCCAATAGGTTCTACGTAATATTTCCCTGTCAATCCAGGAGTTATTAGAACCTTTCCAATTAGTAGGATCAAGATGTAGCCCCATTTCATGGGCGATACGAAAAGCCATGCCCGAAAAAGCCACCCTTTGAAGTTTTCCCATGTCCAATTTCTCGGTGACCAAGAAGTATGAGAGCTTGTAAAGCTGTGAGATTTGGGGATTCGAGTGCAAATCCATATAAAAGTTCTTGAGCACGATTGGAGAACATATCGGAAAGTTCCCTTTGGGCTGTGCTCTCGCTAGCAAGAGCACCCATCGAACAGATGGCATACATGAGAAGATCTGAGTAATATGGTCCGGTACCAGCATCGAAGTCTCTTAGGAAATATTCCCGATACAAGCACATGTGGTATTGGTATTGATGTCGGAAGAATATCCTCATTAGGTATTTGCAAATATCGCTTCGAGGAGAAAAGCTAAGTGCTTTGCATGTAGCCACCTGCAACAATCGATGTTTGTGACAAAATTGGCGAAGTGATTCCGGACTGTGGTAGTAAAGTAGGCGTAGTAGTATCATCTGGATACTCTGACGGATTAATCTGGAAAAGCTGGTCGCACCATAAAATTCAGCCGAATTACCGTCCTTAAGTTTTCTCAGATGGCCAGTCCTTGGACGTATTGGGATATTCGGAGTGTCTAATGGGTCGGATTTTGGTAAAGCAGATGATTGCTTCCACTGTAGACTCAGGTGATTCGTAGAAGCGCTGAAATTAGCCAACATTTCGTCTCGCTTGGAAGCATCTGCAGCGACAAGTTTGGTGATGAACAGTTCCAGAGAGGCTATTTGCCCTTCCAAAGCTTGTACGTAGCCTTTTGGGACTGGTCTAGACTCAGGAAAACGGAATGGAGTTAGAGAAATTTTGGTTTAGTGGCTGCACAGGAACGCACCTCGACTTTTCCGATTGAGGATAAACACACTCATGATTTCCTTTCCGGCATGCAGGGCATGGCTGCATGCGATCGCATCTTATCTGGCATTTTATGGTCAGACATTGATACAATTGCGAGGATAACATCACTGAAATAGCTCACCCTCCTGTACCGGCACCTCTCACATCTATGAGGGTTTTAGCCATTGTGTACGACCACATCACCAATTGAGACTTACGAAACTTTTGACACTTTTGACCAGGGTTTTCTCCTCCGATTGATTCATTGCGAGGGATAAAATGTGAATTGGCGCCCTTCCAAAGGGCTGAGGAGAAATCGACGCAGCACACAACTGTGTAAGTGTGGAGACGAAGCAGAACGTTGGGGTTCTTTCAGAACCAGAACCATTAAAAGATACGTCCTTTTCGGAATATCATGACAAGGTTACATATGTATAAGATTTGTTCTCGTAGGGTTTACATTCTGTTGTATTCATATCCAGGTGAGGCTGATTGTTGTGTCCGGAGGGACAACAAGAGTTTCTGCCTACTTAAATTTCGCCTATGCCCGAGGTTCAAATGTCTGTCCCGCACCCAAGCTGACCCTTCCTTCGAGTTGTCTAATGTTGTCCGTTCAAAGATTTTGGCTGATAAGTATCTACTCAAATCTACTTCCTTAAAAGCTCTACACTGAACACTTTAAACAATCTTTACAGTCCAGAATCTACTTGAGAAGCTCGTGACTTAGACATAAACCCGAGAGGTTATCTGATTGTAAATGTGAATAAAGGCTTTGTAAACTGTTACGAGATCTCGACGCGCAACATATCGATATCATTTCTCAAAAATCCAACTTGGACCATTATGAAGCAAACCCATTTATTAGGTGTGTGAGTATATTCGACTTTAGTGGCTTTTGGCCATTTCCCACTTGCGAACCTACATATACACACCAAGCGCAGATTGAACTCCGTCTCAGGTTGTACATTCCTCAGCTTGACACAGCCATATATTTAGGTAAGGAAGTACGATTGTAGGTGGTAGGTATTTTCATAATTTTCCTCACGCTTGCTTGTACATTGATACAAATTTCATTGTTACTCATACCCTTACACAATGTCTGGCGCGCTTGTTCGAGCAGGCGCACGTAATGGCGAGATAACAGGACAGACATCAGCTCTTGCACCCTCATACCTCCAAGCTAATCTTATCGTTCTACCTTCGTGCTACGCTGATGACTTCGAGCAACTCTGCAAAAGAAATCCGGTACCATGCCCTCTCATCGCCAAATCCGCCAGCATAGGATCATACAATACCCTCGACTCATGGATTGAGGGAGTGGCAGGTGAAGACTTGGCTGCGGATGTCGATATTCGAATCGACATTCCAAAATACATGGTCTACGAAAACGGCGAGCTTTTGCACGATCATGTTGATGATATAAAGGCACACTGGACAGAGGATCACGTAGCATTCTTAATTGGATGCTCCTACAGTTTCGAAGGAGCTCTCATAGACGGCGGACTAATGCCTCAACATATCCGACAGCGTCGAAATGTGCCGATGTACAAGACTAATATAATGCTCTGCCCGGCTGGAGTTTTGATCAGGGTACATATGTGGTATCTATGCGACCCTATAAGAAGGATGATATCGAGAAAGTTAGGAACATAACAAGACCGTATCTGGCCACTCATGGAGAACCGATTGCCTGGGGATGGGATGCTGTCGAGAAATTAGGAATTCAGGACATTGCTAAACCAGACTGGGGCGATATCTCCATGGATGACGATGGGTACCCTCTGGTGTTGGTGGGAGGACGTGAAGATGAAATTGTTCCTGTATTTTGGGGATGTGGTGTCACTCCGCAGCACGCTGTCGTGAGCGCTGGCTTGGAGGGAATTGTTATGGGTCATGCACCGGGACACATGCTGGTTCTGGATTGTCGAGATGGTGATCTTGTTAAGAAGTGAAATGAACCGTATACTGAAGTCATCTGCCTGTCCTCATAGCACTCTCCAATTCTAATTCATATTTAATAATCACTTGATCCTTTAGGCTTACCTATATTTCTAGATATGATGGGTTCTTTGGGTTTTTTTCTTTGCTGTATGACTTATTTTGCCCGGCGCGCAGCTATTCAACTTGTTGAAGTATTTTCTGCTCAGCACTGGAACTAGAGATGGCAGCATTTCAAAGTGCAAAGGATCATCATCAATTTGCGAATTTATTTTGCAAGTTTCGAATGCCCAACTTCATTCACAACATCAAAGGCTCTATCTTTCGAAGCTCTGAAGAAATCCTAGTGGCTACTTTCGGACAGAGCATTTCAGATGCCGGAAGCAAAAAATGCTAAAATTGGATGAAATGGTTCAGAATGCAATCAAATATTGTATGGATTTACCCAATCGTGAAATATCCTGATGATTACTTATTGTGATATTAGAGGGGAATCATCAAATATGTACTTGCAATCATGCGCTTTTGTATAGCCCCACAATTTCAGCGTGGAAAGGAAGAGAAGATCGCTCTCTTTGCCCTCGAGGGCAAATTTAGACTGCACCAGGTGCTAATAGAACCATGGGAAGTCCTATCACTGATGTATGTTCTGAGTATGTGTGGCAGAGGAGCACAGTTTAAACTTTTCAATATGAGGTGGCAGATAGATATGCATAGTCCCCACATATCAACAAATGAATGCTGTCTTCATGTATGCATACTGCCCATCTATATACAGCTGTTGGATGTTGACAAATGAAGTTCATAGCAGAGTTTCTGTTGCTCTTTCAGATCCATTCGTTACATTCCTGTTGTTCCTTTTCATGAGGGGATTAATCATGTGGACATGACAGTAGCATAGGTCCAGTTTAGGGAGCAAGAGAGTAATGGGAATTCACTTTGGAAGTATGTGGGTAATCTGTCGATCTCTGTTGCACATTCTCAAATCTAGCCTAAGCTTGAATCTTCTGATTGCATCACCTACAGGTGAATCATTTAATGTCTGCGATTAGAGCACCGTGATGGGTATTGTAAGGCATCTGGAGAATTCGGTGACCTAATTGAGGACTATTCTACAGCCGTCGATGATTTTACGCGGCGGCGGGAGCTCGCCGAATCTTGGAAAAGATTGCGACTCCAAATTGTGCGATCTCGGAGCAGCTTCTTCGAGACCATGAGGTCGTCATTCCTGCAACCTTTTCCAACAAATTCACAAAGGGTGAACCACAGAAACTTAACATCTCGGAGGTTTTGCACTTACCATCCGCCGTATGAAGGAGAATATGCGCATGCGTGGTATGTACAAAATGGACTATCATTGTAATGAGTCCCCAATTGAGTAAATGGGAAACAGAAAGATGACCAATAAATAGCATGCAAAATATAGAGTATGAACTGCTTTCTGCGATATCGTATCTATTCCGAGAAAGTCTCTATATACTTAAATCCAAACAACATAATATATAATACAAATGGTATCCAGCCTATGTCCCAAATCTTATATCAATAATCCAATTTCCTATGCAATTTTCCCCGTTAATTACCATCGAAAAGTTCCTGTTTAACACCAAAGTCCTTCCAGAACTACCACCCAGACACATCCAACCGATCTCCAACCAGCCGATATACAAAACCGCTTATGCATTCACAACAACTACACTAACTCAGACCCTTCCTCAGGCTTCCACTCATCATCCAACGTGAACCCACCTTGAATCAATTCACAATCCAGCGTCCCCCACTTCTCGAGATAAACTCTTCTTCCCATCTCAATAGTCAACTGAAGAGCCTTTTCAAAACCCTCTGCATGACGATAATAAGGTTCGTCTTTACCTCCAGGTTGTAGATGTTGCCATTCATTTCGACCTTCGGCGCCTTGGGAGTACTTGGCGAGTACCATGTTGGTGGCGACTTGGAGGAGGTGAAAGTAGGCCGGGGAACCGGGCTCGTCGGTCACCCACTTAGAGTTTGAGTCTAAGGATGTGGATGAGAATAACGTGGTTGACTTTTTCGCGGTAGCGTCGCGATGGAGGCCCTCTAGTGACTTGAACTGGGGATTTTTTGGGGAATCTCCCAGGCTTCGCTTTTTGTATCCGCCAGCTTCGGACATAGTGACCGAAGAACCTGCTTGCGAAAGATCCTTCGCGACCATGGGGCTCGGTTCTTTTCCCCCCTGCATCCTTTGCTCCTTGCCATCCTTGATGTATCTTCGATGCTTGCTGGACATCGGAATCGCTAGTATCGACATCTGCCTTGGGAGTGGCCTTAATATATCCTTCATTCTGCGCCTCAGCTTTGTTACCAAAAGGGACTTGTTCTTCCATCGCCTTCGTATATGCTTGTGCGTCATCGTCATCGGTCGCAGCCTGCTTTTGATTTCCTTCCACTTTTCTGTGAGCTTCTTCTTGCTCGTGGGCTTGCTTTACCGTTATCGACTGTTCTCCGCCATGTTTGCGGCCTGCTTCATCGTCTTTCGATGTGGTCTCCCGTAAAACTCGCTTCTACTGTACTTTTCTTTCGGTAGAGGACAATCAAATCGTCAATGCTGTGCGCGATATCATAGATTATTCCACTTCCAAATTTGTCCGTTCCGGCAAAATCATTTCCAAATGTTGTCATCAGATGCCGGGGCTCGTTAACCCCATATCCAGCCATAAGTAATCGAGCGTACATATCACAATCAGTATGATAGAACGGAATTGTAGTGTCGAACCCACCAACTGATTCAAAAGCTGCTCGGTTAACTAAAGCTAGGTAATCGAAAGCAAAGAACCGCATCGCCCATGGTTTACTTGGATCCGAAGCATTTGGATCCGGATCTGCTGATTGTGCTGATCGGAGAACTTCGACAGCATGTTGATATATAGTCTGATGTCCGGCGTAACCATTGGACGCAGAAATACCTTGCTCGAATGTGATAGGAATGATATCCATGTGACTCCAAAAATAAGTCTCCAGATCTTTCTCAATGGCCGTCCAAAGGAAGAAATTCTGTAACTGGGCAAATGTGTAGATCGTAGGTGTCACGATTACATTTACACCCATATGAAGTCGAGTGTGGTTTAGGAAAAAGGATTTTGAGAGAGAAGGCCGAGTTCGTTGGATCTCATAGTGCCGGTGTTTTCAACAACATAGATATCTTCTGCTGGCCAACCGGACGTTATCCACGAGACAACCGTTTGCTGGAGTAATAGCCAGTTCCGCGTGAAAGCAATAAAGAGTGGTGTATTTTCTTTTACGTGAGGGACTGGAGGTTTGTTCCATGGGGGAACGGGTGGTAAATCGGCGGCTGAGCGAGCACTCATCGCCAAAGGAAAGTTATCTTTGATCATTGCTTGCGATGGTTTGTTCTGCTTTTTCTTATGCTGCGATTTTGGCTTTGAAGTCTGCTTTATGTTGTACTGCGATTTCGGCCTTGGTGCCTGCTCTGAAGGATGATGCGATTTCGAGTTAGAGGCCTCGTTTCGAGCCGTCTGGGATTCGGATGGCTCAGCTACCACTTTTGACGTGTATGGTGTTCGCGTTGGTGAAGAAATCAAAGCTGAATCGGTCACTGCTACAACCCTAGGTGATGTCGATATCCTCACTTCCTCCGTCCCGCTCGTCGCCGAACTCGTTGTCGTCAAACGTTCTCCATCTACCTTAACATCGTGCAAAAATTCGTTGTTCCCCTTTACTTGATCCCAACCATCCCGCAATATGACCTCCCTCCCATCAACTATATTGTTGGCAAACTTCGGCAGGAAGAATTTCCATGTGTAAAGGAGCACCAAAATAATACAAGACAGCACCAACGTTCTCAATTTCGAAATGATCATTTTCCAAAATCCTCTTTCCTCCAGATACCTATACAGGAAAATGCTTGAAGAAATAAGAGGAAAACAGTATTTCTGTCGCAAAAATATGTAGAAATGGAGTTTCGAAATCAGGACCATAATAGTAGAATTTTTGGTAGAATACCAAAGAAGAGTCTTTTGTTCTTCAATAATGCTCGCTGTCTGGTTTCTGTGTTGGGAGTTAATTATGTATATACGAAAGGGTAATGAGGGCAAATATAAATATGTTATTAAAAACACTGTAATATAGCTTCAGACGAGTGGTAATTTGATAACTTGATAAAAGATAATAAATATAGTATTCATTGATTGATGCATAAATTCATTCAAAAATACATCAAAACAGCATCCTCAGGTATAAAAATCCAGAAATTGTTTATTTGTATTAATTCGTAGACCTTAAAAATGAAACCATCCATCATTGAAATACACACATGCTCACTTGCTATCTCGTTCCTTAAACAACCCCATTAAAATACGCAAAGAACCCGAAACATTCCAACTGAATTATTAGCCGCCAGTACCATGTTTGGGAATAGTAATGCCTACCTCGTCCATTTAAATAAAGCTCTTAAATCACTCCGTGATCACTCCAATCTCCCTTATTTTCTGCAAACTTTCCTCATCCATTTTTTTGTCGTTCTGCGCGAGATACTTGTCCATTCTTGGTTTCCACTTGGTTTTGAGGAAAATACTCAGGGAACCTTCGAAGGCTCGGAACATTTCTTGGGACTCTGCACCAGTTCTCGAGTTGTTCGATTAAGCTGGCTTCTTCTTCTTGAATTTCTGCTATTTCATCCGCAGTCGAATGGGTAGATTGATGTTTCTCGCAGAAGCATGTGTGGGTGAGTTCAAGCATATAAACTTTCAAGGCTCGTAAGAAACTTTCAGCTATCCACGAATGATCCGTGGCCTCATTGTCCAAAAGACACTCATCTCACATGCAGTTTCCCATCCGTAGTCAAAATTAATTCGCCTATTTCCCTCTTTATCTAGCCGGAACTCCACTTTTCGTTGCAGATTCATCATTCTGGTGACTAGAAGGCAACCGCCAGTTGAGCAAGTGCATGTGCAATTATCATGAACTTCCTCAACCACAAACCTTCTTAGTGCGAGAATGTGGGGCTTTTGATGATAGAAAAGTGCTTACAAACTGCTTCTACATAGAGTCTAAGTCTTGTCCCAATATGATGAAGCAATGTGTGGCTGTATTGACCATAAACTTTGGCGAAATCAACCCCTTTAGAAATGTACCACAAAATCAGAGCCACATGATCGAGTGTGAATATAATTCGAACATAATTTGTGGTATATTAGGCGCCTATCCATTAAATACACCTCATACATGGGGTATATGCATAGTCGTCATACTCATTGATATTCTTAAAACCAGCTTGGTATAGATACTCTGCGGCTTCTCGAGACAAGTATTCTGCGTGGTAAATACTCCAACTTGCCATCACCAGGCAGGGCAAGAGTGCGGGCTGGACGGAGACCCCATGATCGAGGAGAAGCCTTGTTACCTTCCAGGCAAAGGCATCAAGAATTTTACTATTTTCGAGGTAGGAAGGTATGTCTATCTGCATTTCTTGACATGCGGACATTGCAAGTTCATACAGACGTTGTCTTCTGTTCACAACACCCGCTGATACGATTTTGAGGATATCCATGTCCTCATAAGGCTCAATTCTCATCGTGAAAACAGGAGACTCGCATTCGCCTAACATACTATCATTAGCGAGAAGCATTCGAATTGAAGGCATGCATTTTGCCCTAACTGCATAGGATATTGGCGGCCTCATGTGGCGGTCCAGTTTGTTAACATCCGCTTCGGCCTTTAGTAACAATTCAATACCTAGCGGCCAAGAATCAGAAGCATGCAAAGGCGTTGTCCCATCCTCAAGGGTAAAATTTACCGCAGCAGCGTCACAAGACAGAATCTTTCCAATTCACACTTTGATCTTGTCAGTATAGCTTTGAAAACTTCCGGTACGTCAAGAGCTTTGAAACCAAATTGATTATTGTTCCAGTTAACGGTATTGGTGTACACATACCGTCTGCTTGTTTGGTTTTATAAATGAAGTGCTCAATTTTGCGTTGCGCCGACCCAAATCCATTGTCATCATAGAGATGCAAATTAGTGAGATCGATTCGAGAGCCAAGATCACAAAGAGTCTCCGCAGTATCGTAAAATTCGCTAATATCGAGTTTTTCCGGGAGGCGTGACTGGTAAAAGAAATTACGTAGTCCCTATGAGTTGTGCGCACTTAGCATAATATTTTCAGAAATAATTAATTATTTTCGTAAATGGTCTTAAAGAGACAACAATTCATATTAGGGACACTGATAAAGGGTTGAGGACTGCTCGAACATCATAAAGACCAATGAGAGTCCTTTACTCCGGAGCCGAAGCATGCAGATGGTACACGCTCTATGAAAAGGACAGGAGAAATCATACTCGTAGTATTTGCAAGCTTCAAAATTGCACTCAGCAGATTTGAATATGCTTATTACTTCCGATATACTGTAAAAGTGGTAGATCGAGATACATACATCCCGATAGCATACTGTGAGGGGAATTGGAAGAGAAAGCTGATTAGATCATATCGTAATATATCATTTATACAGAAAACGGATTTCACAATGGTTTTGGGGTTGAAGCTATATAGGTTCAAATGCATAATAGAAGATTAACTATTCTAGAAAGAAAAGACAAAAGCTATCCTTTATATCTAATTACAGAAGGTCATATAATTGACTAATCAAAACCCCTATGTATCTGGCTTATAATTCCGACTTTCTCACAATACATTGGCCAAAATACGTATATTTTCTGAAGCCGAGGGAGGTATTTGCTTTTAAACTCGCTGCGAAGATAAGAAGATCGCCAAAGGTAACCCTTCATCAAGGACCACCACCAAATATTTGCGGCCTTCAAAGCCAATATGGCAGTTAAAGATGTGATAACATAAGAACTCACAGCAAATAATGTCAATCCACCAACTGTGATATCATTGGCGCCGGCTTTGCGTTGGTGAAACATGAGGCGAAGCTTTGTCAACTGCAAATTCAAAACTGGTTCAGGTAAGACTTTCGCTGGCATCCAATTAATCTTTCCACTGCACGTCCACGACGAAGACTTATAATTTGGTTCGTGGCCACAGAAAATTTCAAAGGATGGAGCATAATGAGGAACTACATAGCTCATATTCAGATGAGGGCTGATGGAAAAGCTACCTGCACCCCTAGTTACGGACAAGGCGATGGCCACTGAATATCTTAGTAATTCATTGTAGGGTAGAAACTTGGCTTCGACTACGACGGTTCGGTGCCCTGATTTATACCATGGAGAATCGCGTCTATGATCAGACACTTGTTGCCAGAATAAGTATGAGAGGATCGGGTAACCCGTATGAAAGATTATATCCCACTCAGATGTGTATTCTGCTCTTCGGCAAGGACAAGCATCCAATATTATGGAAGGGCGAGAAACTTTATTTCTTTCTTTTTGGGATTGAGGGACAAATTTTTGTTCTGGAATGGCTCGGGCTTTATGCAAGCTCCCTGCTGTAGTAAGACTATTTGTTCAAGTACACCTGAAAGGAACGAAGCAGTAATTTCTGCAACAATCAGACACGCGATTTAGACAGGAGACTAGTACAATACCGTATTGTCATTATTCGCAACCATTGTGGTGAGGCAATCAAGCTTCTGCATAGTTTCTGTCTTGTACTGCGAGTCGTTTGCGACAATTCGATGACATGCTCGTAGGTGTCTCTGTTCAGCATAAAAAATTGAATTTCATTGTCTAGATGATTTTGGATGACCTACACGCTGAAATTGTGAAGGGCAAGCGTAAGATTGTTCTGTAGACTATCCAACATTGCATTTGCAAGTGTCAAAGAGTCCTTGATAAAAGGATATGCAATTCGATTCGAGATAGTGTTCCTACCATGTTTTTGAAGTTCCTTGTCAAGACCTCGTAACCCGGCTTCGCATTTTTCAATCGTTTCAATAACAGAGGTAGGCAGAGTCCATTTTTCCTGCTCAAAGGGCTTTAGCTTATCTCCAAGCTGTTGTAAAATAGCATTTAGAGTCTCTGCTTTGGATTTGAACGTGATAATATCTTTGTTAAAGCTCTTGCATTGTGAACAATACTTGACTAGGCTTTGGGATACTTGGAGGCCAAGGGAAATGACTCCTACTGCACCGCTTGCTACGGAAGTGGGCCCGCAATTTTCACAACAAGTCTTTTAAATTTTCACGAGAAAAACTTTATGATACTCGACCATTGAGGAGAAATATGCAACAAAATCTACACACAAACAATGCTTTGGTGGGTGATTGATGGGAAACACGGAAAGCAACGGAGTGAAACCAAACAGGAAGGGCAAGAAGAAGTAAGAATTTTAGCTGAAAAGAACTGAGCTATTGAGCAAGCAGGCAAGAGCCGGGCGCAGACGAAACCACCCTTCCTCTTGGCTCGAAAGCATAACAGCATCTTATGGCTAAAATGACTAGACTAAAATGCACTTTTCCGTATTGCATGGCCATTCAAAATCTTTCCAAAGTGAGTAAGTAGGACACAAAACCTTGCTATGCTTCAATCTGCGTAATGATGGAGGCGCTTATGTACCAATGACAATGATGGCAAGATGTGGGACAAGTTCAAGATTGATAAAACCATATGATGCATATGGTTATTACTCCGCCACATCAGCAAAGCTCAGAATAATGCAGTAAAACTCATAGTTCTGCAGATATACAATGATAATTGATAGACTTATCGTATGGAGAAGCCGCAGCACTTTGTGCCAACCTCTTAACACTGGTGAACAGCAACCTGACTCCAAATACTTACCAATTTCAATCGATCCTGCGCCATATCCCTGTAACACGCTATTAAGTAAATATAGTGGTCAGTGATAAAATGCACAGCCCAGAGGCTCACAGCCTTGTTTGGGTCCAAAATCAACATTCATCGAGGATAGAGATGAGGAGCCGGAGGTGGGCTCCAAGTCAGACCTGAATTATTCTCGCAGTCGTGTCTCTGATCTTGAAGTAGACAAGTACATCTCAAGTGCATCTCCACCAAGCCATGTAAACATCCACAGATGGCCATGATCATCATGTTTGTACGACGGTGATGTTGAGATACTGAGGTACTGAAACACGAGTGCGACGTCAAAATCCGAGGAGGGGGTTAACCTCCAGGCTAGTCCCGCACTAATTGCTGGGACCTGACCCCATCATCAACCCTCACCAACAAATCAAATCACCACGACTCTCCTCCAATGCCTCCAATTTCTCCAATTTCAATTCCTACAACTCCTAGAATCGTCATATATTATCAGACGCAACATCATGCCGATGGCAGATCATGTTCAATATTACCTATCATCACCCAGCCAAACATCGCGGTAACGCACGTAAACGTCGCGGCAATCCATCTCAATGATCCTCCGGAAATATAACTCTGGTACATCTGCCATATCCCTACTCAACAATACTAACAAGTAATAGAATGATCATGTACCTCACCATGAGCTACGTCACCATGTGGGCAGAACTCCGCATCCTCCAAGCAACTGGAATAAAAGTAATGGGAATGCTTGGTGGGGCAGCCAAAGGTTCATTCACTCGACTCGACCAAGACGAAGCCACATTCGAACTTTACTACGTCCCTTTACGGAACCTTATCCGTGAGCGTGGCCTCGATGGTTTAGATCTCGACGTTGAGGAGGAGATGAATCTGGCTGGAATAATACGATTGATTGACCGACTAAAAGCTGATTTCGGGCGTGGATTTATCATTACGCTCGCGCCTGTGGCTGCGGCACTGATATCTGAACGGCCTGAACATAATTTGAGTGGGTTTAATTATGAGGCTTTGGAGGTTATGAGAGGAAGTAGTATTGAGTGGTATAATACGCAGTTTTATTGTGGATGGGCGATATAGTAAGACGGCTGGATATGATATGATGATGATGAGGGGATGGCCTGCACATAAAGTTGTGGTGGGTATGGTTACCAATCCGGGGAATGGTAATGGATGGGTACCGTTTGAGCCACTCCGAGAAGTACTTCTTAATCTGAAGTCCAGATACCCTACATTTGGTGGTGTTATGGGTTGGGAATACTTCAATTCTTTACCAGGGGATAAAGATAGACCATGGGAGTGGGCGGCTTGGATGACCAAGGTTCTGGGTAAATTACCGATATCCACACCTTCGGGGGTACGAGTACAAGTGCTGTGGCAGATAAACAGAAGCCACCAACAACAATGTAGATGATGATCTCCAGGGGGATGCTCCTTTACCTGCGGAATTTGAGTACCATTCCGAGGGACTTTGGGAAGATTAATGATACCCCGTTTCTTGCATAAAGATAGTTATAAAATTGAGTTTTTATTGTCGAAGTTTGCTGTTTCTTTAAGGAGAGCCAGTGGTAATGAGTTCTGGTGCACTACAAAGCCGTTTGGTGCATCCATGCTTGTACCTAGTGAAGTATATTGATATATGTGGTAAGTCACCGGAGGGAACATATCTGGATAATAGATCCAAGAGACACTGGATAATGACATACATGGATAACCACAGCAAATGACAGAGGAGGTGCACCCAACGTGCAAGCATAGGTACATTACGAAAAGAAAATTAATCTCAGAAGGCCCTAGTAAATATCCTGTGATACTATATCCACATCATATCGAAACATGCGAAGCCGGTCGAGGGATATATCGGGGATAGAGGTAGACAATATTCTAGCTTTCTATATACAATAATTGGTTAGACGAGCTGGCAGAATTACTCTATATCTGGAATCTTGTCAGGATCCATGTTATTCTGAATCAGTAGGGTATGGAGTAAATTGATTGATATTAGTATAATCACTTCGTGATTGGCTTTGTCATTCATGTTGTGTTACTTTATGATTCATTTTATGATTCACTCACTTTGTGATTTGGATGCAAACTCAAAGTCGTTGAAATTGTTCCCGGGATACAGTCATTCATGGGTAGGAAATTCTGCTTTATGCCTGGGTATTTATGTGGATATTTGATGGTATTATAGGATTTTTCTTCATCTTTGGAGATGCATTGTCTACTAAGATTTTGATGGCAGGTACTAAGGATGTCTTCAAGAACGGATGAATACAGATCTATCATATGGAATCTACGCATATTCATTGCCTAATGTTGTCAGAGCTCCTATTACCCATAGCGAATTTAACTAAGTGGTTAGAGATATACGATTTTTCATACGCCAGACACTTTGTAGACGGACAGAACCTACGCGGAATGTGAGGAATATGACGGAGAAATTGTCTGAGGTAGAGGCTGGTATCAATGTGACCTTGAGGCTTGGAGGTACTTTTGTAGGTGTCTAATTTATGCTGAGATGTGATAAGGGCAATATAATAACAAATGCGATTGTGCAGTTGTGGGAAATGGTGAAGTTACTAGAGATTTAGTAGGAGTGATGCTTAATAGGGGATATCAAGTGTGTTGTGATGAACAGGGAAGCAAAAGTGTTCAGCACCAGAAACCAATTCAGCTGTAAGAACTCTCCGTGCAGCAGCAGCAAACCCGAGTTCAGTACGAACAATTGTCTAGTTTGCCTACAGAAATACATGTGAGAGTGGCACTCCACAGTACATCTAAAGTAGTCTCTCCTAACTAACCTTCATCCAAATCAGCTGCATCTAGACCACCAGCAAAGGCTATCAAGCAAAAAGATATCATCAGAAATACAAGATCAAGGATAAGATAAAGAAAATCTTGTTGGACAAAACAAAAGATTTGGAAGCTAGGATTTATGAGAAGGAATTAAAGAAGAAAATTTGAGGGCAATTGGCTATGTAGTGGGAAAAGATTGATAGGTTTGGCGAAAGATACAAATGTAATAGCTCTAGTAGGGAATTCATGGTATTCTAGGCCCTCAGGAAGTATATGGTAACTTGTGCTAATCGGTATTGGTTTCCTTCCAGATTGACGAGCAATATATGGCATTCAAGAAGAAGGAGGGAAAATGAGGAATACAATGATAAGGCTGATTTCGTGAGTATCGACACTGCTGGGTTGAGAATAGAGTTAGATAAACTACCAGATTGAGAGAAATAATCTTGATAAATGTGATGATGACTGGATAGGAGTTTCCTTCGCTTCTCTTCACAAAGTATTTTCAGTTGGTTTTTTCTTTCCTCTTAATGTGTATTGAATATTCCGATGTCGACATAGATTGTGATGAACAAATATTCATGTTCTTAGATCAATGATAGAGATGATTGAGAGCCCCTGTGTGAGGGTTGAAAAATGAAAGTTCAACTAACGAGGTAAATCGAAACGAGGGCTACAGGAATAAGAATCTGTTAACGGCCTCCTTCCGTTGTTGAGAGTTTCCAGTCTTACGCAATACAGGTTTGTTAATGTTTATTTTTGATGTTTTTTTTTCAATCAAACAACAATGTTCATGACGAGACAATTTATCTTACATCAACGATGGGGAATAAAACTTCCATATCGAGGAGCACAAGAGGGATAGAAGACAGCACTGAAAACATTACTTAGTAAGTAACTTCAATCGCATCTGGTAGCACCAAATTCGGTAACAAATCTCGTGTTGCTCCTTCCAAAACAGAACAATGTCGTT